CTGCTAAGGCACAGATACCTAGGTAAACTGCCATTGTGCAGGATATTTCAAGAGACACAGATCAGTGTTTAAAACAGCATAGCAAATATTTGTACTAAAAGTGAATTTTAGTGTTTATAGAAAATACTAGTTGGGGTACACGGCTTCGTTCAGGGATTTTATATGATACTGTGTGCTAGATGGAATAAAAGGATAAACTTTAAAATATAAGAGGTACAATTATTTTATTGAAAACATATTCTAACTATTTACAGTACTTGTTTATACACAGTATTTTTCATTTTGTTATCCGGGTTATATATGTAAAAAATATGTACAAATGTTTCGAATTTCTTCTTCGAGAACAAGCTACGTATAGCTAACCGTGAGAAAAACACGAGTCTTTGAGAGTGATGCCGCACTGTTTCAAAGTTTGTCCTTGTGCTTTGTTAATTGTAAAACTATAAGCTAATGTAATTGGAAATTGCAGTCTTTTAAATTGGAATGACAGTTCAGTAGATATCAGTGGTATTCTGTGGATATATACTGTGTGTTCTTCATTGTTTCCAATCATAAGTTCGGCTTGTTATTCGATGTTATGCGATGGCTGTTTGACGACCATCCTTGTTCCATTATATACTCTTAGGCAAAAAACGACGCACCACGACTCACCGAGAAGATATAAAGCAAACTGGACACAGATTGATATGCATACAGGTTTCGACGGAAGATGTAAAATTTTACATTTTGGCTGCCAATGAATGAACGGTTGTCGCTACAGCGCATCTGATCTTCACAACTTGCAGGATATTCAAGAGGAGAAATTACTTATTACCTTTTACTTTGGGTACTGTGACGCCATCTAGTGTTATGTTGTTCATTCCTTTGAGGTTGTATCTAAAAAATATGACTTGGGAATTAGTTGCATTGGTTTTGATCTTCCAAGCGAAAAACCACTTGGTAAGGATATTAACGGCTTTTTGAAGCTTATCTCTTGCTCTTGATGGGGCTGATAGAACTGCACATGATCGCGGTGTCATCCGCATAGCACGCAAAAGTAATATCTGGGATATGTGGCATATAGTTAATGCAAAGACAAAATAATATTGGCGAAAGTAAACTTCCTTGCTGAAGACCGGCCTAAATAATTTTCTTGCTGGATAAAGTATCTTTAATTTTGACCTGAAAGGTTCTACTATCCAGGTAGCTGGATATTGTGGTAATAAGGTCCGGGCAAATACATAATTCCTCATTTTGACAAGGAGGCCAGCATGCCAAACCTTGTCTAAAGCCTTCTCGATGGCCAAAAATAGGGCAGCACCAATCTCTTTCTTATTTAGATGTTGTCCAATAATTTCTGTAATTCTTGTGATTTTGTGAACTGTAGAATGACCCGGTCTGAAACCAAACTGATAATCCTTTAGCAAGTTGTGACTTTCAATGAAGTTATTAACTCGATTTACAGTAATACGTTCAAATAATTTAGCAAGAGCTGGGAGCGAGCTGATTTGTCTATGACCGCTCCTAGTTGATCCAATTTTTCCAGGTTTTCTTATGACTATAATTGTAGCGTGTTTCCAGACACGAAGGAAGCAGTTTAAATTTAAGCAGGCGTTAAAAATTTTTGTAATGAGAAATATCCCTTTCCTGTTCAGGTTCCTGATGGCTTTGTTACCAATCCCGTCATAACCGGCCGATTTCTTTGGGTTCAAAACATCAAGACAATCTTTTACTTGTCTGGGGGTAATGAGATTTTCTACGCTGCGACTATTAGTAGCAATGTAATCTTTTACATGGTTTTCGATGTTAACATCATTTGGGTTGAGAAACTGATTTAATGTGAATTGATCTTCGTAATCTTTCCCTTTCTCCTACCGAAACTCGGCTTTTAACTATTTCCTTCCAAATAGAAACTTTGCATTCGTTCACGCCCGCAGTGGAGTAGCTTGCATAACTGGCGCCCGGGGCACGATACCTTTCTGGCGCCCCCCGAAAAACATATAGTAATGTAATATATAGAATATACTCGTAATAAGAATATAAGACAAAAATAAAAGAGTATAAGTACCTAGCTTAAAATATTCTATAATATATTACGAATAGTCACTGCAAGTACTCGTGTACTGTTTTCAGAGATGTATAGGGACACAGCCTCAGGTTAGACTTTAAATTTTAAACAAAAGAATTTTGTTAAAAGAACCAAGACTGGAATTGGATTCCGAAATCTGTCTGTCAGTAGAAAAATCGGACATGCGGTCATCTAGAATAAGTTAAAGACGTTTTATACATACTTATTTTTAATTTAAAAAAAAAAAAAACGTACAAGCTTCAAACAATTTAAAAGTTAATATATATAAGGTCGCTATACTTAATAATAATAACTGAATACAATTAATTACTATGTATATATTTTTCATGCCTTGGATGAAGCAAATTTGTCAATTACTTCATCAAAGTCGATCATTTCAAATTTTTCTCTTTCTACACTTAAAAATGCTAGATCACTTAGGCGATCTTGTCCCATCGTTGATCGTAGGTACGCCAAAATTAATTTTAATTTGCTGAACGAACCTTCACAGGTGGCAATTGATACTGAAATAGTAAGAAGCATTTGTAGGGCGACTCTCAAGTTTGGAAAAACATCTCTATCAGTGGCGTAACTAGAATTCTTGGGCCCCTATGCAAAAAATTTTCCTGGGCCCCTTTCCCAATAAATTTAGTGTGCTTAAAAATAAAAAATAAAAAAAGGTTTAAATTTAAAAAAAACTGCTAAAAGTTAAAAAAATAAATAAAATCAAGGATTCCAATCAAGGTGCCAATGTTTTCATGATGATTTTTTATCCCATCTGGATTAATTGTTAAAAAATAAAATCACGTTTTTAGGGAGCCAGTTGAAAGGTACGTAACATGAAGAAAGAATAAAAAGGAAAATAATTTCCCTTGACCAACTGGCGAAATGAAAATTTGCTTTAGTCTGGGTATTTGACGTTAGATGATTTTAATTCAGTTACTTAAGACTTTTTATGTGAGTACGAGAGGCAGATTTTCTCTCCTTTCACTGAGATGCATACTGATAATAAATGAATAAGTCATATAAAAAAAGGAACATGTCGACGTATAGCATTAAGAAAAGAAGAAAGCCTAGATTGTGGAGATTTATATAAAATCCAAGAAGTTTTACTTACTAATGTTTTAAAATTTTATATAAAATTTGCGCCTATCTAAGTTTCTTTGCTTAAGTTAGCAAACTTGTAGGGTTTATATTTATTTTTACTAACATTTATTTTAAGTTTAAACTATCTTTCCTGTTAAGCCTTACTTTCCCCTGGAATTGCCAATGCTAGAGTATGTAAATTTTGGTAGAACGCGCAAGGGTTCGAATTGTCAGCGGAAGTAATCTGAGTTAAATAGAAGGGAAACGAGTTCGAAAGTGTGCTTTTTTGCTTCACGAGCGTGGAGGTGGCTAGTTAGAAATTGAAGAACCACGCGTTTCGGCCTGTGTGCTTGCCTCGGTAGATTGTTAAATCGTTCAACGTAATATTCAGAAGTTTGCTGAATTATCAGCGATATTTTAGAACGCCGTGAGTTTAGTTACGTTTAGAGAGCCTCGTAGTTAGTCACTTGTTACTATTCTTTTTTTTTTTTTTTTTTAGTTTTATTCTTATTTACCGCCGGTCGGCGTAGTTTGTGAGCGTCACGCACGCATTTGTAATTTCTAAAGTTGAATAAAAGGGATTTAAACCCTTCTCAAGACTTTGTCTACTTTCCAGTTCTCAGCAGTCACCACTATTGTTGCGTGCAGGTTGGAAGCGCGCAACATTACAAACTTATAAATAATTAGTTATATTATAAACTGACAGACAAGATAATTGATAAACGTACAAAAAAGCTATTACATTAATGTATAGTACTCTGTGATTTACTCAGCTTACGAACATGATTTATGCAATAATATACAAGTAATAAATAAGAACTTTTATATTGTAAATGATACATTTGTTAAATATAAAACATATTTATCATAAACTTCATAAAGAAAACTATTTGAACATACAATTTGTGTAGAAAAGACAGAAAAAAATTTACCATACAATTTTTGTAGAAAATATGCATGGTAAAGTTTTTTTTTTTCTGTCTTTTTTAAAAACCTTTTTGTTACACTAAACTACTTGAATACAGGTTTTTATAAAAAATATGAATGCTAAAGTTTTTTACTGTTTCCCTTTAATTTTTCTCAGTCCGTATTGCTCTTCTTCTCTAATTTTTTCCTCCCTCAATAAGTGTAATAACATTGGTGGCCAAAATTCATCATAAGGAAAAAAATCCTTCTTTTAAAATTTGCGTCTCCTAACCTTCATTTCCGCAACATTATTTATCAATACTTGGACGTCCATTTTCTCAACCATCTCAGCTTCAACGCTCAATAGTGAAAGGTTTGACAACTGATCTTGTGTCATACTGTTTCTTAGATATGTTTTTATTAGTTTCAGTAGTGAAAATGACAATTAGGGAAATGAAGACTTATAAGAAAGTTTCAAATAAAACTTTAAAATATTAGTTAAAATAAATATAAATCCCTACAATATAATTAACGAAAATTAAATGATGTTTTGATCTTTGTCTATAATACTTTATTTCTTTCATGCATAAACAAATTTCTTGCCTTTATGCGCAATGGTGTTAATCAAAGCTTAAATCTTTCATTTTTGTTGATTTAACTTGGATGCAATGTATTTTATTGACTTCAAAGATTACGTGACTTATGTATAAATAATGTAAAGAAAGAAGATCCTTCTTCCTCTTCTCTTGCGGAATGCATCTCATGTCATTAATAACGCGGCATTTTATTATTTTCTCACAGTGTTAGGAATTTCCTCAAGGTCTCTTTAAAATCTCATTAAAAGTTTAGTTTAAAACTTTCCTTAAGGAATGGGGGAGGAGAACTAAGAAAAATATTTTAATTATAAGCTCAATTTGACACTGTTTTTTAGAAGTCAACTAACTAAAAGAATGGAAGCCAGTCAAACAGAAAAGCGTTTTTATTCGCCAAAGAACACAAATGTAGACAAGAATTTGCACTGAAATTGACTCAGTGCTTACATAAACAGTTTTTGATAACATTGGGTTCAATTAATGCATAATAACCAGGAGTAATAATGCATAATAACCAGGAGCAAAATGCAGTAGTTTTGATAATTCCGGAGAAAAGTTTAGAATGTGAACTATTTTACAATTCATGTTGCGAAACAAACAAATGAGTAAATGAGTGCAGTTTGTGATGGATACTATGAACTGAATTGCTCACTTATAACATGCTTTCAAAAACGCAGTAAATTTAACAAAGATTTTATCAATATTGTTCATTATGATCGCATTAAAGTTGTCAAAATGCAATTAATATAGAATATTTAGTCTAGTTATACTGTATTACATATAATTGTTTCTCATAATAACAAAACTATGACTCATCTTTTTATTTTGTTTAATTATAAAAAATTATCTATTAAATATTTGCAATTGCTTTTCTTTTTTAAAATGAATGTGCTTTATTGCTACTTAAATCCTACTTAATATAATGAGAAATTTTATTAATATAAAAGCAATTCACAGTAACTGAGAAAATGCTCTTATGTGCTATAACTTCTATTTTTTTTTGGATAAAAATAATTATATTCAATTTAAATCAGTTTTTTTTTCCGCTTGGAACCTATATATGCTTAAAGAGAAAGAAAAGCAAGCAGTTAATATTAGTTCCAAGCAGGATGTTTTGTGAGAATAACGATTAAAAGTTTAATAAAAGTAGAAGACGTAAAGAGAAGAAAAGATAACTTTTCTTCAAAATTTTGGAACTTTCAGTTCCTTAATTTATGTAAATTGTAATTAGTTCTAACAGAGAAAACAACAGTTAAATGGCAAACCATTATTATAATTGCAATTATTTTTTAATGTAAAGGACATGTAAAAAACCCATAAATTTAAATTTTGTTACTGATAGCTGAATTTTAAAATAGTAAATTGTTCCGGAAATAACTGGAAAATATTAAATAATAAAATTTAATAAGAAATGAAATTCAGGCATTCAAACAAGTTACAATTTTATAAAGAATTTCAAATAAAAATCACTAGTAATTGAATAATAGTTTTGTTAATTGCGTTTGTGAAATTTGTTGAATTATTAAATGTAGTCACTCTTAATTTGCTTTACTTCATTTTGTACATAATTATCAATGCTTGTTTCGGCAGCTCAGCCTGAGATTCAGAGTGCATAATATTATTGTACAATCTGTTTCTTTCCATAAAAAAAAAAAAAAAAAAAAAAAAGTACCAAGATTATTTCAAAATAGTATATCTTATGACTTTACAAGTAGTATATTTCCAAATAGTAAAATATACTTTGACGTAATTGATTAAGTAAACAAAAGAAAAACAAAATCAATAAAAATTACACTTATTATTTTCCCCCCTCTTTTGATGTCCGTAATGGAATTCGCATTCTTTAGTACATTCTCAGTAACATTTCGTAAAACGTTGAATTACTGCTTATGGAAATCTAGTAATTTCTAATTAAATTATATTGAACACAAGAAGAATTTTATAATAGCTCCTCTCTATTCGCAGAATTTCCTTTAATTTTGTTTGAAGGTTTTCTAAATGTTCTTCTGAAGCAATCGCTTAAAAGCTAACTTTTTAGTTCCGTACTAATTATTAGATTTGAATAAAGAAAGAATTAATTTTAATTAAAAAAATTTTTTTGGTAATGATATTTTCCTACGTTGCTCTTAATTGGACATAGTTAAAGTAACAGTTATTACATTTTTTCTCTTTGGTTCTAATATGATTGTTCTGATTTGGGACTGAAGCTTTTTTTTAAATGCAGCAAATGTCTTATCTACTACCTCATACAATATAGTTTGGGAAAAAATATTCAACATTTTAAGATCATTTACTGATTTTAATATTACTTACGAACAGGTATACTACGTATTTAGAATATATAGTGTTACGCTGCAATATACACTAAAGCGACCAGTTTTTCTACCGTAGAATGGATTACAAATGTACAAGAATCAGACGACAAACACATTCAACGAACAGGTTGTTGCGCGTATATTGAACACATAAATAAAATCAATAATAAATAAATTAAAAATGAGTATGGGAAATATGTGAAAGACGATTGACTACGAAATTTCTGTAATGATTTATAATCTCGAACGGCCACGTAATTTATTCAGTCAGTGCGGAGTCGAATGAAATTAGGATTTTAAACTTCGGTTGTTGATTTAGAGAAAAAAATGGCTACCGTAATAAAACTGAAAAGTATGCTTTTCCCTAACTACTGAATACTATAATGACTTATATTAAAATGCCAATCCGAATTAATTTTTCCATTATAATTAACATTGTATGTATTGCTTGAGTATACATACATGTTACGCTGTTTTGAGTTTTAGATTTGTTAAACCATAACTTTCCACTAGAAGGCCATATGTGTTTATGATATGCTTCCTCTAATCTTCTTCTCTTCTCTTAGAAAAATTTACATTTCACACTGTATTATCTCAAAACATATCATATTTTCACACAGCGTTAACCTTTTGAATTACCCTGTTGCACCTAAAAATTGCTTTTATTTCCCAAGATAATTATTACCTCCTGAAATTACTTTCAAGGTAATCTCCCCAAAAACAAGATTACATGAGTTATACATTTCCAAAGTTAATATTAAAAATGGAAATTTCTGAAGTTTCAATTTTTCCACATCTGCTCTGTTGCAGTAAAGCTTTTAACAATAACTGCATTTTGGAGTTTAGTTTCAGCTAATTTTGAACCCGTGATAGTAAAAATTTGATTATTAAAAATGTCTTTCGCATTATTGCTAAAAACAGTGTTCTCATTCAGGGGCGCATTCTCCAGTTTCTTGAGTCTTTCTGAGAAGATTATCTTTTCCAAGGCTACTATAGGGTATTCAACAAACATAGCACACAGAAAAGCTAACAGGTAGGAAATACAAAGATGAGCAAAGAATTCATTTATCTGCAAAGAAAAAACAATTGAAACAATTAATTTAATTTTTTAAGCACAAATACATTTGTAGGTATTCAATTTTTTTTAAAAAATTTTAATACAGATCAGTGCACTTTATGTCATAAACCTTTGTTTTGTGTATTACTCATTTCTTTTCGATTGAAGCACAAACCGATGATTTTCGATTGAAACACTATGAATAAACGTTTAACTTTCTGAGCATGGAATGTCAGTTAGTACGTAATGTGTTCAATGTGTACACCATTTTGTTTCAAAAGCTGTTTCAAGCGAACCTTTGCATTTGTCGCAACGGCTTCTGAAACTGCATCAAAGACTTCCAAGCATTTTTGCAGGCTTCCTTTCAAATACCTAATCTCTAAAAAATCCCTTAAAAATCACATGGATTGAATAGTTAGACATTACCGGCTCGATGAACATCTCATACAGAAAATCAAGAACACCATTTACAGTTTCTGTGTCAGCTGTTGAGTTTGTAAGTTGTCTACTACTGTTGCCATTTTCAGATGAGGAGGTGCTTGGTGTGGACCGTAGATCAGTACAGACCTTCTTCAGTACAGAGTTGATGGATTCCTGTTGGTGACAATTTCTTTTAGCACACAATCTGTTTGCAAAGAGCTTATCTTGTACCAAAGTATGCACAAACTGTCGTTTCGCGACTAACTACAGTCCGATATTGATTTCTCTTGACATCTGCTGGATTTTCTGCGAAAGAAAGCACCGACATACGAAGCATATTTTTAGCGTTCAATACATAATATTAAAATTTTTATGGAGTGATTGAATGGTATGACATTTCGCTCAATACTTAATTAGGCATAGAACATTAATTAAACATCTTTAGTAAATCAAGGAGAATTAGCTACATGTATTATATATAGTCAAAACATGTAACGAAATCTCATGTAAATGGAAAATTTGCAATGTGAAAGGTCGGAAATATACGGCCAATAAAGTCAAAAAGCAAATGCTTCTCTTGATCCAATTATTATATCTTGTCTTTGAAATTCAGGGGGGAACAAGCAATTAACCATGTAAAATATCTATTCAAATTAAAATGTGTGGTTATGTAATTATTTAACATATTAATAAATTTGGTTACAGATATATTTTTCCATGAAAATAAATTATGCGCCTCCCTTTCTGGTGGCAATTTTCCTTTTAGTGAAAGGAGGAACATAGAAATTTCACATTTTTAATGTCGTACACGAAACATGTACAAAATATTTATTTTACAAATTTAAAAAAGCTATGATTTCGAGTTCTGAAATTTCCAATATTTCTCAGATCAAATTATCAGTTTCACAATTTCTCGTATGGATCACTGTGAATGGCTGTTATGAGTCATCCGAAAAGTTCTGGGATTTTTTATGATAAAATGTAACTGATGTAGCACGAAAACATAAGAAACTTTCACTAAATCACATAAGCACCATTTTATTCCATGACAGTTTACCATCTTTTAAGAAGCTGGAAAACAGAACTAAAGGCCGTTCAGAAAATTCTGAAGTGATCTGAGAAGAAGAACACTGTGAGAATATATAGCCGAACACGAAGCGATACAAAACATCCCAGCTATTCTCAACAAGTCTTTGTCTGGCATTCATCGTAATGTGGGGTCAAGCATTGTCATGACGGAAGATAACACCTCGAAGATTAGTCTGATTAGTCAGCTTTTAAAACTTCCATATGAGAAATATATTTTTCCTAACGTATTGCCTGATTTGGTAGCAGCAGTTCATAGTATACAATTCCTTTCTAGTTCCACCATGCGCAAAGCATTACATTTTTGAAACGCAGACCGCTTCTCGATATTACTAAAGAAGATCCTTCTGGCTTACTTTTATGATCTCTTTCTTGTAACATTATTGCATAGCCATTTCTCTTCGCCAATAATGAACCGTTTCAAAATAGGACCTTCTGTTTTCAGCAAAAAATCACGTGTCGAAATTCGAGCAAGCATATTCCGCTCATTTAAAATACGGGGTACTCATACATCATGGTTGCTTACATACCAAGTCTACTTCAAATAATGATGTTCTGTACGTTTTGTAATATTTATTCCGTTTGATAGTTCCTGAACTGTATTAACTGTATGGTCTTCCAAAGTAGGCATCGTTTTCGGGCTGAAATTTCCTCTCTTGAACTTCTCAAACTACCTTCGAACTGATTCGTCAGAAAGAGAATATTTTTCCATATACAGTACAAATTTTATGAGTAATCTGATTAGCATTTTTTTCCATTTTTTAAAATCAAAGAACATAACATGACGAAAATGAACTTTCGGGTTCTCCCTTCTCAGTATTGCACTGAAACAAAAATTATGCTAAACCACATGCTGGAACTAGGAAATGTCAGCAAGAAAGACCATATTTTAAGCATCCGCTTCGATCAGTCCGTATAATAGGAAACAAAATAATTAGAAGACACTCTTCGACTTGAAAACCGTGAACTTCTGAGATTAACTAACACTGAAAGTTTTACAAAATGCGCACGGCAATACATACAATTATAGCATAAATAAATTATATAATATAGATATCAATAAACGTCACTGTTGAAACGTTGTACAAGTATTAAATTATTACTAAAAATTCCCAACTGAAACTAACTACATGAAAATACAAATGATTAACTCGAATTGTAATTTCAGTATATCAGAGGAATTCAGCAATTTCGAAAACAAAAATTCAAAACGGATATAAACCTTTATTATAACTTCTTTTCTACGTTTCCATACCAGAATTCAAATCAGTTATAGAGTTTTTAAAACGAGGGTTTTGCTTTGTAAGACAGAGCGTGTTTATGCCTTTCGGGGCCAAGGTATTAGGATTCACTAGCTCTGATACGAATGTAACTATTCGGCTTTGCGTTATAGCTGCCGTTATTTAAATTGCTATTCTGGTTAAAGTTCTGAACCAGCTTAGTGTTAGAGTTAAATTGTGTAGTCTTGACTATACTTGAAGTTTTAGATACGACTGTTACTTTAAACCTCATCGGCACAATTGGTGATATTATGTGAGCACGAGACGTACATTTTATGTTCAAGTTATAAGATATTTCTTCCACTTTCCAAGCGTCCTTCGTGGTGTAGTTGTTCTGCACACTGGGCCGGTATTCCAGAGGTCCGTGGTTCGATTCCTGGCGAAGGCGGTTGCATATTTTTCATCTTTCTGCCTCTACAAGTGGTCCTAATGACTCTACAAGTGGAGACCGAACTAAAAAGGGTTGTGGATGGTGATTCTCCGCACCCAGAATTTGGCTACTAGGTCCCCTAAAACACTAGTCGCCCTTTAAAAAATGATTGACATGCTGATTAATGGGACAGGTAATTTTCTAAAAATTGATTATCTCCATGGATGAAACATTCAGCAAGCTTGAAAAAATTTAAATTCTTCTAAAATTTGAAATGTTCGAAAATGTAAGCGCAAAAGCGCCAAATCTAGCAAACGCGCCCATTTAACAACGCGCCAAATCTAGCGTACGCGCTGATTTCAGATTGCGTAAGTTTATATAGTTCTATATTCTTAAGACGCCATTGAAATACGAGTTTAATTTTTAAATCCTTTTTTGATATCCTATGGATTTAACAATTTGAGAATTGCCCATGACGAAAACTCGGCAATAGAATTTTGGGTAAAGTGCAGAATCACCCACTGCTTAACGCGTTTTTAAGAATTGCACATACTCGGTATCCATGTGCACATCGACCTATTTTTCACTTAAAAAAAAAATCCTAGAATTGCACAAAATGGCACTACACACACACTTGACTTTATCTATGTACACATCGACCTATTTTCACTTAAAACGTAAAAGAAAATTGACAAAAATCCGCTTTCAAACAAATAAGTGAGCGATTCTGCCCTTTACCGAGAATATTTTCAAAGAAAAGGCATCATTCGTTATAGAAAATTACGTTTGAACAACCAATGAGATGAAATTATACTTTAGCGGTAAGTCGGTAGCGAAATAGCGATGCAGGCATCCATTCAGTTATGTTAAGCAATTTTTATATAAATTATAATAATGATCTGAAATAGTTATTCACTCTTATGCTTCCATTCAATCATGTTTAGCCTTTTTATATAAATTATAATAATAAAAAAGTATTATATGAAATTAACCTTTCATCTAAATTAAAAAATCAATCTTAAATAGCTATTTACTATTATACTTCCTTTCTTGCCGCAATTATTTTTGGCAGCATTGGCATCAACAATAGTTTGGCGATTTTTTACGGCACTCGAAACCGAATAGTTCCTTAACTTTCGATGAATTAAAATGTACTCTAAATGATAATTTAAATAAAAATTTATTAGATAAAATAAGCATACAAAGCTTTAAATTTAAAGGTAAGGATCTAGCATTTTCCAATTTTAATAATGAATTATCATCGTAATGTGTTGATAGTTATGTTCGTTTGTGCGAATATGCATGAAGTTTTGATTCATATATAATGACCAATCTTTATAACTAATGAAAAAAAATTAAGATGAGTATTGGCATCAAATTTGATGAACATAATAGTAAAATACTCGAGAAATTGGTTACTTTAATTAAACTTGAAAATGTCATACAATTAGAAAAATCCTATTCAGTCTTCTTTGAACTCTGATAAAAATCAAAGTTAAAATTTCAGTCTTTTCAGAGTTAAAATTACAGTCGCTTAAGAGACTGTGATAAAATCTGAGAAGTGGGAGAGTTCATACGTATAACTCTTAAATTTGATTATTAAACTCGATCGTTGTCAATCACTAAATTAACGTCAAAAGCATTGTTGTATGTTTCCCCGCATTCCTAGAATAAAGAAATAAATAGTCTAGATCTTGCTTGTGTTTCTGATTGCTTTCTATGCATACTTAAATGAAATACTTAATTTCCTGTTTGTTTTAGCAGTTTTATTCTTTTACTTCTAAGGGATAAGCCTTTTAATAATTGTGAGCTGTATCAATTCCTCAATAAGACTGTTAAGTCACTAATCGCTGTGTCTTCAAAAAGCATTACAGAAACTTGAGAATGACCCTTTATATTCAAACTAAGTAGCATGAACAGAAGGCCCACCTGGTACTTACAAATCAGCCAGCATTTGTGGCAAGAACTCAAAATAGAAATTCGAAGTAAAGCTTAATCTATAGCCTAAGACTACGTAGAGTAAGTTAAACACGAAATCGGCTCTTAAAGCTTCACCAATGTGAAATACAATCGACAATTATAATGCACGATCGAAGACATTAACTCTTATCATAGAATAGCAACGTGGCCTTCACTAGGCGAACCATGCTCTATCTAAACCATCTCAAACCCTCACTTAAATACTCGCGAGTTAATTTGCATTTTGGCGGAAAAAAGAAAGAGAGAAGTGAGAGTAAAAGTTCTTAACATAAAATAACTGGCCATATGAATTAAATTAACTCTACATACTAATTAATTTATATTCTTATTGACTTTCCCTCCATTAACAAGATTATTATTAGGAAAAAAACTCTGCGAATGCCTAACAAGCAAGATTAAAAAGATTATTTATTAGTAGTAATTATATTTCCCCTTGGTTAAAAGTTAGTAAATATTTAACTGTTAGAACCGGATCAATAACAAGGTAACAAAATATGTTTTAATGTGTATTCAGTATTTAGATAGCGAATCGCACTTACCATGTTGTAATGGGAGAACACTTCTGTTGATTTAGCAACTGCTATGAAACTTTGTTGCACTAATGGATGAATTAGATATACAAGAAAAGAGAGTCTTCCCAGAGGCATCCAAACTTTCCAAGATAATATGTAGTTGACGATTCCTAAAAATAGAAATCAAAACATATTGTAACATTTAATGACGAAATTATATAGTGTTTGATGTGAACCTCAATTTAATAATAATGATGTGAAAATCAATTTAATAATAATGATGTGAAAATTAATTTAATAATAAATTTTCAGTATTTAAATTGTAATAAATGTTATATATTAAGTTAAAACTCTAGTATTTAAACTATTCTTTAAACTAAGTTCACCTAATGATAATTCCCTAAGAGTTACTTTCTAAATATCGGCAACTTATTGCCCAGATTGCAATCCACTTACAAAAATTCAATTATAAATTTCAACGAACTTCATTCGACCATTTCTGATGGGTTATATTTAAAGTAAGAACTTATAAAACAAAACGGTTGATTATTTATCGACAGTTACTACAGGATGATCTAAATGTCGAGAAGACCAAACTTTCGAAAACTGTGGAAATTTTAAAATGAATATTAATGACAAAAACCTCTACTGCTGCAAGTTACATATCTCTTGAAATTTCAGTTGCAGTTTACGCTGTTAGCTTTAAAAACCACTTGTTGCGGGAAGCTAGGGAGGAGTTTTCCCAACAGAACAATGTTTTAGGATTCAGCATTACTTTGCAAGGCAGTCTTACGAAAAGTTAATAAAGCGTTTAGAGAGCCATATCGAAATATTCGTGAACCTAACATAACAACTATTTTCAGCTTGATAACCAGATTTCGAGAAAATAGAAGTAATCAACATAAAAAACGAATTAGCTTCTACTTTCTTCAGATGTCGAGCAAAGTGATCGACGTCAGGAATAAAACTCTGCAACAAAAGGTAAGAGAAAGGTGGCATCACAATCAAATTTATGTGTTGCGAAGTATAAAATCAGTCAAAATTCATTCTCATACCATACAAATGGTTTTTAAAGCTAACTGCTTTTCAGTGATATAATTCTTGTAACACTTTTAGGAGTGACATACATTGAAAGAATTTGCATTCAATATCCATTCTGGATTTTTGATAATTTTTGAAAATCTGAGCGGCATTTGGATAACTCAGTGCATTTCAGTGTCATTGGTTATTCAGTGTTATTAGTCTTAATCAGTGTTATTAGTCTTAATCAGTGTTATTAGTGCATTTCATATCAAGACGTAGGAATAATTTCACGTCTTGATATGAAATGCAATAATAACAAAACCAATTCTTTAAAACAAGACACCTGGATTTAACCTTAGCTACTCATTTCAGGTCCAGGTGGAGCAAAGCATCCAAGTAGGCATATTGCATATCACCGGGTCTTCTTAGCTGCTCAGCTTCTGCCTCGAATAGAACTCTGAGGGAGACCACCCCGGGATGCAGTCCAAGGGTCTCCCAAAATCTTTCTCTATCACTAGTCTCTGGAGAGATTTTGACTTATCTTGTGTTCTGAGTGCCCACTTGCCGCACAGACACAGTACGCTTACAAGCATCCATGCCTTCTCCGGGATTCGAACTTCGGTCCTTCGGTATGGCAGTCAGTGTCCCGAGTCCTTCGGTATGGCAGTCAGTGTACCTAACCATTATCCTGTCTGGGTATGAGTATAGAAAGGATCACTTACAAACTCTGAACGACAACGGAGTTGAAGTGGCCTACGACCACTTAACTCACTTCAAACATCAAGGCGGCTTTTCATGCAATAAGGTAGGAGTTATAGTTAACCTTTGCTAGATTTAAATCTTTTTTGCACTTGCTTTAATCGGAATAATCTTTAGGCCTGAGTTAACAGAGGAGACGTGAATCAAAAGGAAGGATGGATAGTTTTGAAATTGAGCTCAGCTATAAGTAGAACTTAAAATAGTCATCATAAATATAATACTGTTCTAAATGGCAATTTATAAGTTTTAAAAAGAATAAAAGACATTGTCCCTTTTTTTTTTTCGGAAACGCGCAAATATATCATTAATAATCTAAAATTTCATTAAGGAAAAATATAGCATTTTCTTAAACATATATCTGTGTAACTTTCTGAAATAGCCGCCCAGATGGTATAGGTTTTTAGGGGTGCCTGACTGCGATACCGAAGAGTCCAGGTTAGAATCCAGGAGAAGGCATGGAGCTACAGAGGCTGTTCGCACATTTTTTAGACGATTTTGGTAAGCGGTAATAAAAAATCGTTTGCTGCAAAAGAAGTAATTGAAATTGTACTATGTTTTTAAAAGTCAAAAATATCGTGTGGCTTGAAAGTTTTGTTTTTATTCAAAATGCCGAATTTAACAAAGCAGTGGTTCGAAGGCTACATTTACGCTCTTTCCGAAGAGAAATATGCATACTCCGTTATCCAAAAACGATGTGAGAGTCATGGTTTTGTGATATCTAAAGCATCGATAGGTAGTATCATCAACAAGAAAGGAAAAAAACGTCAAATTGGAGCCTCAAGTGGGACGAAAATTCCAAACCAGTATTCAAGGGAAAAACGGACATCTTCGACTATTGCAAAGGTACGTTGTTTAATGTTAAAAGGAAATCCCCCCAGTCAAAGGACAGTTGCAAAATCATTAAAATGCTCGGTGTCCACTGTAAACAAAATGATAAACGTTGATTTAAATCTTAAGAAAGCGAAAAAACGCAATGTGCATCTTCTTCTTCCAAAGCATATCGCTCAACGCAGGACACGCTGCAGAATTCTATATGAGAAACACTTATCCAAAGAAAAATGGAAAACAATTCTCACAATCGATGAAGCATGGGTGTATTTAAATGATTGTAACAAAAAAAGAGCCATTTATTATCATAAAATGGGAGAAAAAATTTTAAGTACATGGTTCAAAGAATCGAAAGAAAGTTTTTTTAAGGGATTCATGATTGTTGCTGGTTTTTCTTATAATGGCAAGTTAAAAATAAAGAGAGTGCAAAAAAATGTCAATATTAACTCCCAATACTATCAGGAACATAATTTATCTCCAATTTTTCTGAATGAAATACCATCGCTTTAACCACAGTGCCATCAATCTGTGAGACTCCATCAGGACAAAGTTATCAGTCACACATCAAAATCCACTATAAATTTCCTAAAAGAAATGGAACAAAAAAAATGGTAACAAGGCCATACCCTTCACTAATATCCCTACTAAATCTTCCGATGTGTCACCTATGGATGTTTGTGCTTTCGGAGTTTTAAAAACTGCATTATCCAAACGTTGTCCCAAAACCCTAACAGGACTCTGGGAAGCTGTTCGCGAGGAATGGGATAGAATATCTCTTCTGCCACTTCAAAAGGCATTATTATCTTGGAAATTGCGGTGTCGAAGGATAGTTCAAAATAAGGGATGTCAAATAGAACATTTAAAACACAAGAATTTTATGTAATTTAGTTTTGTGAATACAATATACATCGTCTAAAAATGTGTGAACAGCCTCTGTAAAATTTTTCGTAGGAGATAAAGGTGGCCGCCTATTAGGTGCCTCCACAATAAAACGACCACCATTTCTAGACTTAGTAGTAACCAATGCCGTTTACGCAAGTGCCGACCATTAGAAAAAACAAAACCTTTCTGAAATAATTTTCTTCAGAAGATCTTTACGTAGACTTTGACGTGAAAACCTTGCAAATTAGGCGCAATATGTCATTTGTTTTTCATGTTCATCAAATTTCAAAGTAAATTATTAAAATTATTATTCCAAGAACGTAATTTAATTAAAATGCACCTTATTTAGCATCCTGCTGAGAAATTTTCTTTAATCGTATATTTAAGAAATTTATCTCAAAATATCGAAATAGTCTTTAAAAATAATAATTATCAGTTATATAACAGATAACTGTTAGTTCACATAAGAATCTGATTTCTTAAATTTCCGATGTTACTTAAGCCACACGCATTGTTACAAGCCAAAGGAATATTGATTTTTGTATACAATCAATATCTTTTAATATTCTAGCAGTATGCTGATACGAATTTTGTATATATATGAACAATTTTAATGAACTTATATTTGGAGTTGTAGCATTTTTTGAATTAGGTATATGAAGTGCTTGAAAAACGAAACTCTGCCGGAAAGTTACAGGGGCAAGTCTATTTAAAATTTAGGTAAATGGCTATCCGGATAAATTGGTGAGATAATGCGAAGCTGCCGATAGTTTTGGCGACTAACTTTTATTCCCATATTTGGTCAGAAATCACCAAAAGTCGTCAAACTAAATGACCAGTTGGCGATATTTCGTTCCGGTTCTTGTATAGCTTGTACTATAATTGGTCCCCATATGTAACTGTAATCGTATCTGGCCCTTAAATGTAAATTTAATCATATATGCCTTCCAGAGGTTTTTAGAAATTAAAGGTACTGCAGACTTCTTGGTAGCCTGGAGAAAATTATATAAGCCAGGAGACAGTATGAGTTCTTAGTTTAGAGTTAGATCTCCGTGTGAACTTTGCTCTTTATATGCTGCCTGCATTGTGTTGTGTTTAACGTTCTTAGTAGTTGGAAGTGGTAACTGCTGATGTTATTGTGTCGAAAACGGCAGTGGAAATACTTTTCTGGAAAGTACCAGAACTGTAAAGTGTTTTCTTCTGGGAAAATATGTATATTTTTATCTACATTTATATATATATGAAGAAGAAAAAAGAAGAATTAAAATGGTATAAGAAAGAATAATTTCAACTAAAATAATATTTCATAAAATTTAAAAATTTAAATGGTACTAAATTTTATGAAATCTTATCTTAAAACAGGCTGATTTACTTTGAACACAGACTCTCATACATTCAAATTCGCAAAGATTAAAATATACTTCAATTTTTACATTCAAATTAAAGTTTCTTTTGTATTACACGTCCTTCAGCTAAAAATGAATATGAATTTTGTAACAAAAGCTGAATTAAAGACCTCCAGAACCAGTAATGCAAGAAATGACCATCCAGGCTATTCCTGTAGTCCAGGCAACCCTATGAAAACTAGCATATGCAATTTTCTCCACCACCATCGATGGACTTCCTTTATTCCACTCTGTCGTTCCGTACAAAGCCGTCAAGCTGAAAGTAATCGCCAAACACCAACCAATCACTTGCATTTTCTGGGGAAAAAAAAATGGTGAGAAAGGAAATTTTAATCAGTATTAATTCAAAATTTTACAGAAACACATAATAAGATTTATAAAGAAACGTTTTTCTCAGTCTCTTAAACAAAAATCTATTTTATATGCTTTGTTTATTAAAGCATGCCTAAGCAATGAGCTCTAACACTGCGCCTAACTCGCTTTTCTAAACCTTTATTTATTTACTTATTACGTGCTCCACCATTAAGCGTTGCATGAAAAGAAGGGAGCCCTTGGAGGACTTTTCTAGAGAAAACTTGCTCGTATCCATGTTACACATGAGGAAAAACTTGAAAACGCCCATGCAATCTAGCCCGTTCTCGCCGATACGCAAATTCTGTACCGTACTACCAGTGTTCGGCGGCTTTTACCGCTCGGCCTCTGGTGTGCCGTTCTTTGAGAACGTGAAAAGAATTCTTATAACTACTAGGTAATTATAAGGATACTGTAGCTAAAAACTTACTTCCAAATGGCGACTTAAATTTGTCATTAACTTACAAGTAAAAAAGAGAGGAAAAAAATTAGAAAAAAGTTTTATAAAATAAGTTTTTATTTAAATTTTCAAAATTAAATAATGAACTGAAAGTAGAAAAACAATTTAGCGGGTAGTTTATTGGCAGCAAGAGATCAAATAATTCTTTTTAAAAGCGTGGGGCGTACTCGATAAAGGATTTTACGAAGATTTTTTTTTAATTAATTTAGTTTTTATGATTATCAGAACATGAATACCATGGAATAACCCACGAGTGATTTTTTTCAGTTTGAAAGAAACTGAATCGTTTAATCCTACATTTTATTCATGAATGTCATTATCGAACGGATAAGCATGCTTATGTTATGACGTCATAACTGGAAGCAAATTCGACTAGAAATCTGACGGTCAGGAGTTTCGACAAACCTAATGCTTCTACGAGTACGCAATTTTTAGTCCAAAATAATTTGAGTACCGAAGGATTATTACTTTCGTTTTGGCATTTTGCGTCGGACTCCTACGAATGTCGATTAACTTTTTCAAACTGGTGCCACAAAATGTTAGAGTCCTGCATTATATTTGAAGAAAACTCAATAATGAAAAATCTGCATAAATGCATGTATATTTCTCTCATATTGTGATAAAACAACGGTACATAGAGCCATCCAATTTTGAATGACGTAATCCTACTGCGAATACGGGCATCTGAAATCCCAAATTTGAAATTTGGAATTTGTTTTATGATCGGTTTCATATTTTGTAAAACTTTAACGAATGTTTGAGTAGCAAACTCAACAATTTAAAAGCGGGCAATGGCAACACTCTACGAATAATAATAATAAATAAAAAAAAAAAAAAAAAATTATCTCCAGCGTGCGTCGAACTGTGTATCGGAAATTCTAAAGATAGGCTCATTTTAAAATTATTTTGCGACATTGCTATTGAACTAAATTTTATGGTTTAAGTGCAAAGAATATGATATTTAATAAATAAAGGTAACACGCAAAACGGTAAAAAAACGCCGCTTTGGCTGTAATTTAAAACCTGAAACATTTCAGATTTTTTTTTTTTTTTTTTTTTTTTTTTCCCGCGACAATTTAATACAGAATATGCTTTACATAAAGTTTGCTTTGCTACTGTGCTGAAAAGTGAGAGAAGAGAGGGTGATAAATGGTTCCGAAACAGGTTTTGCTCTTCCTCTCCGCTTTGCTCAGGCTTGATTGTCTTTTGATCATATTATCATTCGTACTAGCTTAATTTTAGTTAACTAGTTTTTGCGGTTTTATAAATGCATTTTATTAAAACATCCAGCTATATATTAAATGTTTAACTTACCCTAGGTATTTTGATTTCAGCTTTCACCGATAGCATATATCCCGTAAGAATTCCAATTAGATAAGGAGCTGCGTGTGCAAAAGGCTTAGAATAAATGTACCGCCAATAATAAACCAACTCTCTGAAATGAAATATTCAATAATACTTAATTTCAAACAACGACATTTTAAGTCCATCTTATCATAATGTTCATAAAATGAACCCATTTTCAGTTCATCTTATTAACGCTATAATAAGATGGACTGAAAATGAGTCCCAGACAAAATCGTAGATCTGAAAAGGGGAAACGTGCAGGCAATTTAAACAAGAGCCACTTAAAATAAAATATGGTCATTGAAATATTTGCCACCAAAAAATTTCTTAGGTGAATTTTATGTTTTAAATAAACAAATGAAACTGCGTTGGAATTACAAGAAGGTATTTTTCTCTGCCGTTCAAAGTATTCAAAAGACTTTTTTAGCATTATTATTATTTTTTTAATTTTAAAATTACGCAAAATTTAGTCTTAAAATTAGTAGTAATTTACATCATAATATGCAGGGCAAAAAAAAAAAAAAAAATATCTGAAAAAAAAAAATATCCGAACAATGGCGGAGAATGCTCTTTCTCAAACAGCAAAAAGTATATAAATAAATAAGTGAAATAATTTTGCTGCTAAAAGAAGAAAGACCTCTGTAAATTTCTTCCGAAATGCATACAGTTTTTCAATAAAAGGAATGACAATTTGAGGATGAATTTTGCTCTCAAGCTGGCGCTCACGTTCTACTCAAATCCTCGAAACTTTATTAACGACATAATAATAAGTTTCGAGTCAATAATTGGCGTTCATTTTCTTTGGAGTGATTAAAATTGCATAAAATTTCTCGAGATGTGCTCAGATTGCAATTGGGAAGTAGTCTTTTTCTGCCATTCATTGAACAAATTTAAAATGCCTCATAAAGAAAAGCTTGAAAAAATCTACTGTAACAAGAAAAGTTATCTCTAAACGAATCGAGGAAATTTCGCACAATGTCAATGACATCTGGAGAGGGGCGCCATCTATTAATGAAATTCAGAACTAATAATAATATATTTAAGAGAATACCTACTATAAGTTGGCCTTGGTATTATCTTAAATTTAAAGTAGGCAAAGCGTCTGAATTCTCTAAACTAGAGGCTCCTAACCCCTAGTTTAGAGAAGTTGGTATTGGCCACTGAGGGACGATGAAATTTTAAAAGAGCCCAATGATGAGCAAGGGTTCCACTGGGGAGTCGAAAACCAAATTTGCATAAAAAAATAATAAAATTGATGATTCATTGATAATCATTGGTTGATAAAACTGAAAACAAAAATCATTGACTGATGATTGATTGTTTGATAAAATAATAATCTATTGTTTGTTGATATAAAGTTATATCATGTACTAAGGAAGAAATATAAAACATATATAAGGGAAAATATGCTAAAGATACTTAATATATTTTAAAAATGATTAATATGTATATTTTTTAAATGTACAAATTTTTTATGCAATAAATGCAATATAAAACAGTTAAAGGCAAGATCGTAAAAAAACACAATTAAAAAAATACGAAGAACACCAAACTAGAACGAAGAACAAGAAAGCGGTTGAATATTTTTGACTGAGGTGATTTAAGTTGAAAAACTTTACGTCAAATATTAAAACAATTGCATCAATTGCTCAAGTGCAATCATCACATAAACTAAAACCGAACTCTTGTCTATACGTACGGAACGTCACGAAAAACTCTCACAAAATTTGTAGGTATGTAGCATAGCTCAAAAACTATTAGCCGCAGAATATTGATATTTCATATATCGGACTGCTGTAACATCTAGTTATGCATCTCTCTTTTTTACTACAATCCACAATGCCAAACGTATATATATATATGTAAGATAAAAAATATGTAAATCAAAATTATAATTTAAACTAACCCCCAATTCCCTTTAATTCTCCCTCTCGGTTCTAAAAATCGTTATAAGTTCTCTGAAATGCGTCATTTCTAAATCATTCCATTTTGCATGACCTGCGCAGCGCATGGACCTTATAAGGTCCATGGCGCAGCGCTGATGACGTAATAATTGGAAAGTGAAACTTTTAACTCAAATCAAAACCTTCGCCTTTGTGTGCTTCCATATAGGATAACTACGCACTTCAGCTTCGCTCTCTGCCTTGCTAGGATGTAATTTCGCTGTCTTGCTTCCTATCGTAATAATACCAAAAATGTAAATGTTCTGTGAATGGGCACGACTAGAGTGCCAAGTGATTGTGCCCACAAAAGTCAGTTGCAAATAAAAATGTAATTAAAACTGCCTCGACTGCCAAGTTGCTTAGATATTACGAACTTTCCACATCAGCATACTACGCAATTCAGAATTCTTCCTCTTGAATATGGATAGACGATCTATCCTATCTGGGTATTACGCATCAGCAGTGCTTCGTCTTTTACTTGCTATTATGACATATACATAGAGAGAGAGAAATTAGGAAATTTAGAGCCGATTCCATAAAGTCCCAAAAGAACTGAAATTCAGTACCGTTAAATTTCAAAATTCCCTATAAATTTTGGTTCATTAGGTCCTTGTGAAATTGGTTTTAAGTTTCTTACTTTTTGTCTATACTGATTAATTTTCAGCAGCATACTGTACGAAAATAATTTGGGATAATTTTACTTTTAAATAAAAATTTGTGATACTTTGTCTCTGTATGTATACACACACACACTTCCCTTTACCTGGCCTTTATTTTCCCAATCGTTATTTACTGACATATACTTCCACTTACAGAAATATTTTAAATGACGAAAATTTTCATGTTTTTACAATGTCAAACTTTAAAAAAAAAATTATTTTTCGAGAAATAAAGAAATTGAACTTTTGATGCGGTCTTCCGGTTCCTATATTTATATTTATGAAAGTTTTATAATCGTTACGAAAAAATAAAATTATAAGAAGTTTGACTCCCATACGATAAAAATTAAGCATTTTCATGTTTTTACAATGTCAAACTTTAAAAAAAAATTAATTTTCGAGAAATAAAGAAATTGAACTTTTGATGCGGTCTTCCGGTTCCTATATTTATATTTATGAAAGTTTTATACTCGTTACGAAAAAATAAAATTATAAGAAGTTTGACTCCCATACGATAAAAATTAAGCATTTTCATGTTTTTACAATGTCAAAATTTAAAACAAAATTAATTTTCGAGAAATAAAGAAATTGAACTTTTGATGCGGTCTTCCGGTTCCTATATTTATATTTATGAAAGTTTTATACTCGTTACGAAAAAATAAAATTATAAGAACTTTGACTCCCATACGATAAAAATTAAGCATTTTCATGTTTTTACAATGTCAAAATTTAAAACAAAATTAATTTTCGAGAAATAAAGAAATTGAACTTTTGATGCGGTCTTCCGGTTCCTATATTTATATTTATGAAAGTTTTATACTCGTTACGAAAAAATAAAATTATAAGAAGTTTGACTCCCATACGATAAAAATAAAGCAAGATATTTAATTTCATAATTTGCAATTTTTTATGCCACTTCGAACACTGAGTGATTCCATTGACGAATTGGTTAATTAAATTAGAATAATTCGACGAAATATGTTAAAATGAAGTGCGGCAAAAAATGCGTATAATTAAATAGATTGTACAAGGAAATTACGCGGTATCCACATCAGATTTTTTTTCGCGCTGAAGATTTAGATGCTATAAGTTCTCATATAAAGTAATGTGAAGTTAAGATATCAGCTAAAAATTATTTACATAAATAAATACTTACTCTAAATCATAAATTGTCATTAGCATTGTCGGAGGAAGATCTTTTAAATACGTTATCGTTCCGGTATAAATTACGGAAGCGAGAATGAAAGCTCCGCACGCAGAAACTCCGATCTTTGGCCACCTGCAACATACGAAGATTACGTATTACAATCCTTTTATGAATCTTCATATATGAAACTCTGAAACATAAACTGTTATAGCCTTATGTTTAAATTAGCAAGACGGGAAAACATTTGAAGGTTTAACATAAAAAGAGAAGTTACGAGCCTTAAATTTTCACTTGCGGCTTGTATGGCTGATATCCACACCAAAGTAAAAAATTAAATTAGGCAAAGGTATTTTGACAAACGGGCAAAATAGTTATCATTCTTGAAAGCGATAATTTTTTTTTACAACTGAGTTTTAGTTTTTGCATAATATAAATTTTACAGTGAAAAGCATTTGTAAAACCTTTTCCTCTCATGCTATGATTTTTTTCGCGTTATACCGTTCTATGTAAATTAAGAACTAAATATAGAAATTAGAGACTGAATATAAAAGTCAAGAAAAGAACTCGACAATGACTTGGTTTAAAATTAAACGAGAAGATCAATCCCTTCACTTTTAAAATTTTGTTTCAAATGATTTACAGTGGCTCATATTTGCTTTCGGACACTTGCATTTTTGAAATTTATTTGCGTAGATCTTGTACTAAATATTGAACCACAGACTTCAACGTTTTCTAATATATTATGTTTTCTCTATTTTAAGCCTGGATTGTTGGAAAATAAATATCATATTAATAATGTGTAATAAAAATAATTAACTCTAAAAGGGGTAATTAAGGACTCGCAAATTCCTCGAATCAGATACTCGAATTGTTTTTGGAAATATTTTGATAAATATTGTTTCTTGTTATCATTTATTGTTTAATGAACATATATCACAATAGAAGAATTCTTAAGAATCATCGTCTGCATTTTTATATCTGCATTTCTTGATATGCACAAACATCATCTGCATATCAAGAGTCATCGTCTACATCTATCACAATGAAAAATTATCATCTGCATTTGAAATTATTATTGTTTAGCAAAATATGTTACTGTTAACACTTCCTTACTTGAAATGAACATGATAAGACACTACAAATTAATCACCAATTGTGCTATAAATTTAATAATTATTTTTTTTCAAAGAAATGGCAAAGTATTTCAAATATAAAAACATCTATAATGTAAAAATATTTAACTAGCTTTGATGTAATAAAATGATGGATATTGTGTGAACTGTTGAAAATGTGTTGGAGTCTGGAATGCATTCCAAGCATAGTAATACAGACTTATTTTATGAAAAATTAAACAACAAACATAAATTAGTACAGCAAAATGTTCAGAAGATTTAGAAACATGGTTTGCAATGAAATTTACCCTGAAACATTTAGAAGAATCATTTAGGGCCCATGGATAAAATGGGCCATCAGGTAAGAGGGAAATTTGTAATCAATAAGAAAAAAAAGAAAATATGCTTGGTGTTCGAAACATCTATAGTAAGCAAAGTTATATCATATTTGAACAATGTTATATTTGCAGAAAATTAAAAAAAAATGCTATGCATTCAGGTCCTAGAAACGAATTAATAGGTGGAAAAATCAGAATTAAGTGGTGAATTCGAAAAACTTATTGTTTATTGTTATGCCTGGGTTGGGGGTAGGCGCATAACGGTTTGGGGATTTTTCGTTGCCTTTAGGATTAAAAATTAAGTTTTTAATCTAGAATAACATGAATTAGTAAAAATACATAAATATTCTGAAAACAAAACCTGAAAACATCTGTAAAAAAACTGGAATGCAAAATACTTTCAAGTTCTGTAAGAATAACGATCTTGAACATACAGCCGTGAAGGTTCGCTTGCGGTTATAACTGTCCTTGTTATATAATAACCACAAGCCACAACCATTTCTTTGGTTATATAGTTGTCATGAAGAAAACTTCTCTGGATTCTTTAGGAATGGAAAAATGGAGCATTTGTACACGAAAACATTAGCTTATGTGTATGCTTATGTGTATGAAAAGTGTAATCTTAGCTAAAAGATATCCAACGAAATACTAAATGTCCCGTTATATTGATGTTTGTATTAAATATAAATTTTTTATGTAAAATGTCCTAACACTCATGTGGGTTCATTTTCAGAACGTTTTGAATGAATTATATATATTACCAAAAGTGCTTTGAATAATTTTTTTCGAAAGAAGCAAGTTTTAAAATAGATTATTAGTAGAAAAATAAAACCATTTTGCTAAAACTGATATTTTCAAATAAAACTAAAAAACGATTACCGTATTTGGCCTTAAAATCAATGTGTTAATAAAGGAATACTACTGTACTCTATATTAAATTTTCGTTGGCAATATAATTTCTTCTAAGTCGAATTTCTTCTTAGCTTTCATGAAATCTTTCAAACTTGTCATAACCAACTTAAAACACAAATATTGGATAGTTTTTTCTTCAGGATACTTACAATGAGTTGTCAACTAATTTCTAAATTTAATTTTAGATTCGTACTTAAAATGCAATTTTAAAATGTACTGACTTTTTCTCAATCTTGATCGAGAATGGACGCGTTAAATACAGAGTGGCGCATATTGTATATACGAGTCTGAGTTGGCAGCCCTATCAAAATACAAATATGCACATGAAGCACACAAAGTACACAACGAGGGAAAAAAAGGGGGGGCACTGGGCCAAAAGAAAAAATGGGAGAGTTCTATTTCACCCGTTCTACTGGGCCGATTGAGGAAACTCAACTTGCGATTTTCATGTCTCGAAAGTGCGACATGGTATATGTATTAGATTTATATACATCATTGTTCTAATATAGGTATTTTGACACAAAATCGGACTTTTTTCTGAAATAACATACCAATTTTTTTCCCATATTTCAATTCTACAACTCAAAGTACTCCAAACTACCAAGTTTTGTAAAAATCGCACGAGTAGTTTTGAAAATAATTAGCTCTCAAAATTTTAGCTTCTAAGTGTTCATTGAGTTTGGTATATATTTATCAATCTCTCTTTTTTATTAAACTTATTTGATTCTTCCTTTCACATTTCGAAATTCAGATTCATTCCAAATAAAATTCGCCCATTTTTTTATGATTTATTTTTTAAATTAGTATCTTTAGATAATTTTTATAAATAAAAAAAAAATTGTGAATTATAATCTATAAAATTGTACCATCATCTTAAAGTAGACGTATTTATAAGCATACCTACAAAAAGTTACAGTTTTTTTATTCAAAATTTCCGAAGATGTACGTGAATTTATATATTGGCGCGTTTTTAAATTTGGCATATTTGTTGAAAGCGATAAAACATCAAATGTGATTTAGACATTTTGCTAAAATTATTTGAAAGTAGGAACGATGTGACTATTTTCCCGCTCACGCAAACAATTTAAAAAATTTGCAACGAGGTTCCTTTTCTTCCTCTCCGGCATAATGGAAGGAAAAGGAAAATTGGTTGCCATATATTAAGAAGTTCGCCAAGTGAATTATTATTGGCGCAAACTGAAAAAAAAAAAAAAAAAAAAAAAAAAAAAAAAAAAAAAAAAAAAAAAAAAAAAAATGTGACAAGATAATTCTTTGAATTTCTCCGTAAATTTCGCCCCAAATTTTACAAAATTTAATATCTAGGCATAATTTGAGTCGTAGAATAGAAATATGGAAAACAATTGGTATGTTATTTCAGAAAAAGGTCCGATTTTGTGTCAAAATACCTATGTTAGAACAATGCTATATATAAATCCAATATATATCCTAAGTCCTGCTTTCCAGACATGAAAAACGCAATTTGAATTTTGTCAATGGGCTCAGTGGAACGGTATATATATATATTTGCTCAACGTATATCAGCTACCATGTAGCACTAGGTGGTTACAGTTGCGGATTGCGGCAGCGAAAGCCTTCTCCCAAACAGGCTGTATTACAGACGTTCAGTGGATACTGCGGCGGAAGGATAGTGGATTGTCATAATTGTGAGCCAGGCAGTTAGCTGGTATATACAATTTGAAGAACAGAATGGTGCAACAGCAAGCACAGGTTGGCCGCACTCCGACAGATGTCTCCGAATCGTTGAATTTCTCGCATGGTAATTTGACTTGCTCATCACTTTTCCCAAGTTTGATAGCTGCGAATTACTTCCTTTGAAGTTAACTGAAAGAGAGTGTCTTTGTACACCGTTTGTACATAGTAAGTCGTCAGTCGTGGACTGACGATTTTGGAGATTGCCATCAACCGTGTTATTCCATATAATTTGCCGAAACGTCCCATGGAGACCTTTTCTCTAACGATGTATTCAAGTAAAAGGGAGAGCATTTATAGGATATTATTAATTAATATTCATTGACGTCTGTATTGTTAGTATTATATGCACTGTATTAAACGCCTGTATGTATTCTATTACTTAAAATCACATAGCGTCTCTCATCATCTTTGCATTATTATTGGCATACATGAGTCAGCTTGTGTATGCCAAACCTTTTAGAATTAAATATAAATTAAACTATAATATAATTAAATATAAAATAAAGTTAAAATATGTTTTTGAGATACAGACCATCTTAGAGTAAAAAGCGGTTAATAAACAACAAATCCGTTATATAGCAGATAGCTTAATAAAAATAAATAAGATTTCACATTATTATTCCAATTTACGCTTTGCTTTCAGAAAACAAAAATAAGCAAATGAGAAAAAAATTGAAACAATAATAACAAAAACTTACCTTTTAAGAGGCAGCAAAACCATAATAGCAGCCACATGCAGCTGCACATCGCAAGCTATGTACCAGGTATGTGGAAGGCACTAAAATAAAATATGGAAAAAATCACATGCAAATCAATGACCATAAAAGATTATCGAAATTTATTTATTAATAATTAGCTTATGACATGTGATTGAACAATTACTACATTTGCATTTTAACAAAAAATAAACGACTTATTAACTTAAATGAATTACACCGTCCCCAGTTCACATAAAAATATGAGATCTTGAGAACATGTAAGAGAACTAATCAACTTGAGTAATGATTAGAATCGAAACTTAATATTGGTATCGTTGTAATTAGCACAGAAAAGTAAAGACAACGCTAAAGTTACTATGACTCCAAAGCAATATGATAGCAAGGAGATTCTATGGTGTTCTTAACTGAAAATTTTCCTCTGAGATTCAAAAATAAATAAATAAATAATAAAAAGAAAAGCCCCCCCCCCAAAAAAAATTGAAAGGTTTCAGATTTTAAATTACATCTAAAGGGGCGTTTTTTTAACGTTTTGTGTTACCTTTATTTATTAAATATCATGTTCTTTGCATTTAAACCCTAAAACTCAGTTCAATAGCAATGTCGCAAAATTTTAAAATGAACTTATCTTTAGAATTTCCAATACACAGTTCCGCGCCCGCTGGAGATTTTTTTTCCCGTAGAGTGTTGCCATTGCTCGCTTTTAAGTCCTCGAGTTTGTTACTCAAATATTCGTTAAACCTTTACAAAATATGAAATCGATAATAAAACAAATTCCAAATTTCAAATTGGGTCTTCCACATGCCCATATTCGTAGGAGGATTACGCCATTTAAAATTCGATGGCTCTATGTACCGTTGTTTTATCACAATGCGAGAGATATACGCACATTTATGCAGATTTTTCATTACCGTATTTGACGGCATATAAGACGCACTTTTTTTCCTAAATTTGGTGTCAAAAACGTTACCTGCATCTTATACGTGAAGGACACAGGTTAACTTTCAATACTGAATGCTATTTTTAGCCCGGATAAAGGTCTAGACACACATAACTTTCTTTACATCTGCCATAATTATTTTGTGCATGCGTGAAATATCTGTCACCAAAAAGCAACAAAGCTCGACGCTGACGTCGAAGTTCGAACAGGTTCGACGGTATGGAGCCTTTCCTTCTTTACATAGAATTTCTGTGACTCAGCCGACACTGTCGGTATCGGTGCTACTCTGTATAAACGTGTCGGTATTGGTGCTTAAAACTATTTGTTTATAAAAAATACCCTGGAAAATATGACTACAGGAAACAAGAGATTAAGCTATACAATTCAGTATAAACTAGGAGTGTTGAACTACGCCAAAGTGTATGGAAACAGAGCAGCAGCAAGGCATTTCGGTCCACCACCTACCGAAAAAATTATACGTAATTAGCGACCGCAGGAAGATCAACTGAAGACTGCTAACAAACAAAAACATAACCTTCGATGCCCAGCTCCATCTTGGCTTGAACTTGGAAATGCCGTAAAAATGTGGGTGATAGATAAGAGGAAATCTGGGATAAGAATTTCAACTAAAATGATAATCAATGAAGCCAAAGGATTTGCAGAAACACACGGGAATCAGAACTTTTCAGGGTCCGAGGGTTGGTGCTACAGGTTCATGAAAAGGCAAGGCTTATCAATGCGCACAAAAACAACTATTGCACAGAAAATGCCATCAGATTATGAAGACAAATACTAGCATTTCATAGGTTTGTTATAAATGCACGCAAGAAAACTTCTTTTGAGCTCGGTCAAGTAGGAAATATGGATGAAATTCCATTCACATTTGATGTACCATCCAACAAGACTGTGAGTATTAAAGGGTCTAAATCAATAACCATAAAAACCACAGGTCATGAAAAAAACCTGATATACGGTAGTTCTAACATGTTGTGCTGATGGCACAAAACTACCGCCATTTTTCATATTCAAAAGAAAAACTCCTCCAAAAAAAAAAAAAAACTTCCAACGGTGTAATTGTTCATAATCATTCGAAAGGCTGGATGGACGAAGCTGCAATGAAACTGTGGTTACAGAACGTATGGGCGAGGAGACCTGGTGGACTCTTAAGAAAATCCTCTCTTTTGGTTTTGGATCAGTTTAGCGCCCATAAAACTGAAACCATAAAGAATAAAGCGAGAGAATTAAAAACCCAGATAGCTGTCATTCCTGGTGGACTGACTAGCCAATTGCAGCCTTTAGATGTATCGGTGAATAAGCCATTTAAGGAAAAAGTGCGAGAACGATGGAACAAGTGGATAGGAGAGCCACATCACGCCCTCACACCCTCAGGTAGAATGATGCGGCCCTCTATTTCACAGGTGTGCGAGTGGGTAAAAAGATCTTGGGAGGACGTAAAGTCTGAAGTAATTGTTAAGTCTTTAAGAAGTGCGGAATCAGTAATACTCTTGACGGAACAGAAGACGACGCATTATTCGAAGAAGGTGATACTAGCGATGACGGAAACAGTAATGATGACGATATTCTCGTTTTCGATGATGATGATAGTGAAAAGGACTTTTATGGTTTTGAAAGTGATTAAAGTCATGATAGTCATGATCAATTTCATGATAGGCAACGTTTTCCTTGAATCTTTTTTGTTTTGTTTTGTTTTGATGTTTCTGCTCTATTTTGTATTATGTTTGATTGCTTGGCGTTCATTCATTTATTCATTATTGAAATTTACATATCATGTTCAAAATAGCTTGCCGTTTGTTAATTTTCCTTAATTAACAATGTTTGGTAATTGCATTCAATGATTGTTTATTTGGCTTTTACGAAACGTGAGAACTAAAAGAAACCCCATTTTAAGTTATTGTGGTACCGCGCTATCGCGCGGACTATTGAAACATATTTTCTTTGTGTGTGACCTTCTAAATAAGGGTGCGTCTTATATGCCAGTGCGTCCTATATGCTGTCAAATACGGTATTTAATTTCTTCAAATATAATGCAGGACTCTAGCATTGGGTGGCAACAGTTTGAAAAGTGATTCGCCGTTTATAGTGATTCAACGCAAAATCACAAGACGAAAACAATGGTCCTTCAGGGTCAGAGCCCTTTTGGACTAAAGACCATGATGAGACTAAAAAAAAATTGTAAATTATATATACTTTTTTTAATCCCATCGTCTTATAGTCCTTTTTAGATATGATGCATCCAAATGGGTGACTTCTTTTCGACTCTTTTATAACATATCAGAGGAAATAACTAACTACAAATTTGACATCAAAAATGACAAAACAACTCCAGAAAAAATTTTGAACTAAAAAATGTATGACAATGAACTTTGTAAGGTCATTGGAAAAACGTGAATTTCGAAATAGCTCACTGCGGTTGCGTACTTTCACATAGGACGGAGAACGGATGGCCTCTAGCTCTTGAAGTAATTCTGAAGGTCACGGTTTCCAGAGCCCGCGAAAGTGAATTGGAAAAATAAAAGAAAGGGATCTGATAACGAGTGGGAAAAACAGGAAAAAATCATTCTACAGAATAATTTGACCTTGAAGGAAAAATAATAATTATAATATTTTTATCACATTTTCTTTAAACTTCTAGAATTATTTGTTCTTGTTGTTAGTAAGTGATTATCTATACATATGTATTACTGAATTTCCTCTTAGTTTTTATAATTTTTTTAATTGTGAAAGTGAAAATGTTCTCCAAACTTCTGCCAATGACATTCGGAAAAAAGAAGAGATTGCGAGTGATACACGAAATTTAATTTGAGTTCAGATTATTTTTTCCTTACGTATCAAGATTCAAATAAGGCTATTTCTATGCATGTTACCAAATTTCTGATTTCAGTAAAAAATAAGCATAAGTTTAATCTGCTGTATTTGTTGGAAAAGAATCCATTAAATCTGAGGTATAATCCTTTTTTAGTCCAAGGGAGCGTTAGCTCTGGGCTGTTAGTCTCAAAACAGCATTTTGTGGCGTTTCACTATAAACGGAGAATCACCTTTTTAAATTGTTGCCACCAAATAATATCAGCCTGTATTAGATTCAAAGAAATTAAATAATGAAGAATCTGTATGAATGAATGTATGTTTTTTGCACTGTGAGAAAACGACGGTACCTAGCGCCACTAAATTCTGAATAACGTAATCCTCCACCCGAACGTGGTGAACGCTTGAATTTTGAATTTCGAATTTTTTTTATTATCTGTTTCATTTTTTGCTTAACTTTAACGAGTTTTTGATTAACAAAATCAACAAGTTTCAAAGAAAACAAAGTGGTAACACTGTACGGAAGATAACATTTTTATCTCCAGGGCGCGAGATTGTGTATCGGAAATTCTATAGATATGCTGTTTTTGAATATTTTGTGATATTGTTGAACTGAATTTCAAATGGGTAAAACATGAATTTAATAAATAAACATAACACACAAAACGTTAAAAAAACGCCCCTTTTGGGGGTCTGAAAGCTTTCAGAGTTTATTTTTAAATCTTTTTTTGCCTTTTCCTTTAAGAGAAAAGTAATTATTCCATGATTTAAAGACGATTCGGATATTTTTGCCGGTTTCAAATTAGAAGTTTATCTAATGGTAAACCAAAAAGCTTATCGTCTTGATAGGGAAATACTGTCATACATTTCAATAGCTCACTTCATACTAAAAACGCTCATAATGGATATCTTTGAAATTAAGAACGCAAATATTATTATTTTCTCGAACAATTTACGTATGATTATGCAAATGGTACAGAAATTTTTAGATGAGAGTTTCAGGGTTTATAAGGTATTTCTCCCGCCTTCTTCGCATGCCTTCGTGGTGTGGTGGTCTGGACGCTGGGCGAGTATTCCAGAGTTCCGCGGTTCGATTCCCGGCAAAGGCGTTGCATATTTTTTATCTTCCCTGCTTTTGCCCCAAAACATAACAGAAAGAATACCTAATGTTTCCACAGTGGCGCCCGAACTAAAAGGGTGTTGAATGATGATTCTTCTTCCCCAGGATTTGGCGACTGGGTCCCCTAAAACCCCAGTCGCCCTTTAAAAGGGGGTGTATATAAGGTATTTCTCCCGCCTTCTTGACATGCCTTCATGGTATGGTGGCCCGCACGCTGGGCGCGTATTCCAGAGGTTCGTGGTTCGATTCCCGGCTAAGGCGTTGCATATTTTTCATCTTTTCTGCTTCCAAAAATATCCTAAGGTCTCTACAAGTATTCTCTTAAAATTAAATTTAAGAAATAATTTATTAGAATACTTCCCCCCCCAAGAAAAAATATGATTGATTAGTTTGGCATATTTATCAAATACACCTCTTTTTATTTACAGCTCTTATTTAAAGCATTTAATTCAAAAATCAATTCTTTATACAAAAGACAAAAAGAAATTTCGTTTCTAAAAGCTCATCATGATCTTGTGTTTCATGTTGTGGTTTGAATATTTATAGATTCTTATTATGAATGTTTTCGTTATTTAGAATATACTTCAGAATATTTAATGAGATAAAGTCTGAGTTTGTGATCTTTATTCACTCCATTTCTTAGCTACTAGTATTTAAAAAGTACGCTGAGTTTTTAGTACTGTTTACGAGTACAATGCATTAAAATCAGTAAACTTTGATTCAGACTCAGTAAGCAGTTTAAAATCGGACTTTAATTATCTCAGATTGGCACGTTTGTCTTAGCGTGCTTTGCAACAATTAAATAAATCCAAATCCAAATTTTAATGATCAGATAATATAAATAAAATATAAATACGCTGCAGACGCTTTTAAAAGTAAAATGTGTCTAATTATTTTAACATCAAAGGTGCTGCAAGTCTCGAAACTACTCAATTTTTGCACGTATTACTTTTGTGTCAAAACCAATTTTTGAATTGTTGCCACCAAATGTTTTCGAGAGGTATTATTTAAAAAAATTAAATAATGAAGAACTTGTAAGTATGTATGTTTTTTGTTCGCACTGTAGAAAAACGACGGCACATAGAACCTCTGATATACGTAGTCCTCCACCCAAATATGGGCGAATCGAAGCTCGAATTTTTAATTTCGAATTTGTTTTTTATCTGTTTCATAATATATGCAAATTTAACGAATTCTCTTTAATAGACTCAGCGATTTGAAATCGAGCAGTGGCAACACATTTCGAAATAAAACATTTATATCACCAGCGCCCCAGATTGTTGTCATTCGGCAAAAAGGAAGATTCGGCTTTTGATCCACGCACGTGCGTATTGCTATTCAGTAATGCATTTAACTTTCAGTTTTAAGCATTCTGTTACTGAGTAACAAACCAAATAATTGAAAAGCTACAAACGCAGTTTTTAAAAATACTACGTTTTAATCTGACAGATTTAAATAAAATGCATTTAAATTATGAGAGGTCTAATTAGAAATTTTAAATATTTTTATTAAATGACAGCGGCTGGACTCATTAAAATCAATACCTGCTTTTTATGTTTTATGCTAACCCTTTTAGGTGATTAAAATATATGGTAATCCCTAACACTATTGGAAATTCTAAAGATATACTTTTTTTAAATATTTGTGACTTTGTTCTTGATTTTTGTATAGCGTAAGTGCGTGCTTAACTCTTAGCAATAAACTTAAAAAGACAAAATATTGTTTTAGCAGGGCGAGTCCAAAAACATATTGGTAACCTGCGGTGGTTAGCTGGAGCATAAAATGCCTTAGGAAATCTCCGGCACGACGTTTAAAACCCGAATTCTTTCAGATTTTTTTTTTTTCTTTTTTTTTCCTTATCTACATCACCTGAACTATTCGTTTAACCAGGGAAACTGGTTCCAAATAAATTCTGAAAAGATTTCATTTGCAATTTGCAGAAATAAACCAAAAACCTTTTTTGGCCCTACCTGACCTTTCTGCATTAACTTTTGGACAAGGCATCAACAACAACCCAAAAATTACATTCGATAGGAATTATTTTATATGCCATTAAAATTCTCTCAAATATAAATTTTTGGGTTTCTCAGACAAACGTCAATTTTTGGATCCAGGTTTCTAGTTCATACAAAAAAGACGTTTATTTTTTTATATTAAATTTTCCTATGATAAAAATAAAAACAATACATATATTCGTATTTACTTGGTTTGAATTTTTATGCTTCTTACTAGCTCTAAATAGAAATTTCAATCTAGCAGTTCGGGAAAATGCTGAAATTAAAACAATTTCAAGTACAATTTTAAACAGAAATATGTTGGAAGAGAAAACATTAAGTATGAGGGGGTAATAAAAACAGTTGAGATGTTGGGGCCAGATGGTTTGCACACGAAATGAAGATTAGTGTATATCTAATTTGCGATCGAAGAATTATGACGAATTCAATCAAGGTTGAATAAAATATAAGGTTGAACGTGTTTCACTGCTGTAAACTATGACCAAACATTTGATAGACGTAACGCGGTTTATCGCTATGTCTAAGTACAACAGAGACTTACGAAAAGTGCAAAAGACCTTTTATTTTAAACGAAAATAGATGAACTGAAGGCTCACAAATCCACGAGCATTTATGGCACGAGACTTAAAGTAGAAGTTCAAATATAAATTTAAATATCTAATAGCCAAAGGTTACACAGATTAATTTAATCGCGAAGTTAGGTCGGAATTGAACCGGCGTGAAATTAACAAGCGAAGAGTAATAATATAACGCCGAAAACAGAATCTCTTTCTAGGACGAAACCTAGTAACATGGCCTTCAAGCGATAGAACAAGCTCTGAATTAAAAAGAAAGAAAAAGGGAAAAAAAAACTCAAATCTTCACTTTTATACACGAGAAGTAATTTGCTTTTTGGCGGGAAAAAGAAAAGAAAGAGGCGTCAGCACAGATTCCAAACATAAAATAACTGCTTAAACAAATTAAATAAATTTGAGAAAAAGCGGGTGAAAAGTTTTCTTTACTTTGCAGGAATTTAAAGTTTTAAAAACTGATAGATAAAAAAGCTTTTGCATATAAAGAAATAAAAAATACTTTTTGAAGGAATGGTCATTAAAATATGTATGCTATTTCCATGTAAATTATGTTAGCTTTCCGTAGAAGATATAATAATTTACACAAATAAATCAATTCCCAAATGCCAAGAAAGCTAAATAACGGTTTCTAGACTTCGGTATTAAAAACAACGATATCTCGTTGATTAAAAGTAACAATCTGGCAACCCTGGTCAAGCTGAGCAAAAGGCATTGTAATCATGCCATTTACATAATTGTTGCGGTTATATAAAAAGTCAATTTCAGTAATGATTTATTGGCTGTTTTATCTGCAGAAAACCTCCACTCACTTTTTTTTTTTTTTTTTTTTTTTTTTTTTTTTTGCATTCTAAGCCCTTGTCGTGTGATATGAACTTTCTCTTTCTAAATTATAAAACATTTGCTGCACGCATCACAACATGAATAATGATGAACCGTACTTACCATTATATCGCTGAAATTATTCACAAACAACAAATTCAACCACCACAAGTAATGACATGGTAGGACTATGTTCCGAACGGATTCTTTAAATATAGGCCCAGAACCCACCAAAGGTATAAGCATCGTGATCATGATGATAAAAGCGTATCCAGGAAATATCCTAATAAATAGAAAAAACTTATAGCGCAGCATAATTTTCAGGATAAATTTCTAAAAGAACTAATATGTAAGACGAAGGATGATGCAGTTATATTTTGAATGCAAAACTTTTAGGAATTCAATATCAACTTAAAAGAGAAAATAATATTATAATATGAAAAGTTATAATTATAGAGAAATCTAAAATGCAAAAAGGTTAATCAAATATAAAGATCTAATTATTAAAACAAACTCGTTAATAATTTTTTTATAAATTTAACTATTCATATTTGAGGTAAATGATGTTATGACATATTCATCAGAACAATTCCAAAACAGCCATTAATTTACACTTATAAACAAATTATATGTTTGAATATATACATTTTATACATAAAACATCAAACGGGTTGTGCGAATAGACTTTCACGCGAAAAACCAAATATTTGTGTTTATTTATATGCCGTTAACGGCTACATCAGATTTTTTAATATGCTTCTTAGAATTTTACAAAATTAATTGAGAATGAAGATGCTGGCTTTAAATTTTATTTAACTTAAAATTTTTAATTACTCAAATAGTATGACAGACCATGTCTCTTCTTTCAATATTAAATAGGCCCACCAGCGGCCGAGCGGTAAAGTCGCTGAACACTGGTAGTTCGGTCCGAGGTTCGAATCCTGCGAACGGGCTGGCTGCATGGGCGTTTTCGTGATTTTTCCCCATGTGTAACGTGTATACGAGCCAGTTTCCCTTAGAAAGTCCTCCACGAAGGCATCCCTCCTCTTAGGCAGATAGCCCTCGTGTGCTTTGCCATAATTAATTAAATACACTAATATTAAATATCTAATTATTAACTAAATAGTATAAATCGATTTAATGCTTTCGGTGTTTAGTCTTTTACTGAGTAACTGTAAATTTTAAATTTAATCATTAAAAAATGCTGATCTCCAAAAAAGCTAGATAAACGAAATTATTTTTTTAATTGATCAGTGCTGAATTTAAATCAATAAAAGAAAACTTTATAAAATAATGTGCAACATGAAGTTTGTGTTCAGCAGAAGAATAAATTTTTTTTAAGTGGGAGCATTAAAGCACATTTAAAATAAATGATGATTTTTTTTTTTTAGATGTAAGATCAAAGAAAGTTTCCTTAATTTACTTAAACTGCGACTTATTGATTGATGTTTATGTGTTATAATAAACAAATTTGCATCGTTGAAACAAATTTAGTTCGTTTTGGTACTCTCATGTTTTATTTAAAGCACGGTTAAATGCCATAAGAACAGGTGACATAAATTTAATATAGTTTGGTTCGTTTTTATAAAACATATATTTAATTCAATTTGCTAACGTTTACTTTATTTAAATGTTATGTCTTTGGTGAGAATGTAACCTACAAATTAAATTTAATATAAAAAAATTGTTCCACGTTAAGATGTTTATTTATTTTAATTCCTTACTATGATAATTCGTAATTAATACAAAACTACAAATTTAACTTATAGTTTTGTTAAATTATTGTAAAAATCCGTTTTGCTAAATTATTTTAAATATTCTGCTATTCGGATCCGTTTCGCTAAATTATTGTAAAAAGTATTTAAAACCATTGTATTGAAGCGCGATAAAGAATAGTTCAGTCTCGCATTACCAAAACTTGATTATAGTGTTACACGTACACGAGGCGTATATAATTTTTGTCAGTACAAACAAACAGTTTAAAGAATATAAAACATGCAATATTTTAAAATAAGAAAATTCTGCATTATTATTTTCCTACTTACCTCCACAATCGATGGAGCAAATACAAAGGTATGCTAAATGGATGCTTTTTCTGTATCACCAATATTGTAAATAAATAGCATGTCAGAAAACCTCTGTAATAAAACAAAAGCGTTTAAAGATTGATTTTCCTATGTAATGACTACAAATGCACGCTATGAGAAAAATCTAAGTGTGATCTTTAAAAACTCTAAGCTATTAAGTCATTTGTATTTCATACTAATAAATACGGGTAAGGTAAAATCAAGTTTTAGAGTTAAGCAATTGAATGACAGAGTTATGAAATTCCTTTACAGATTTACAGATTAAGATTCCTTTACAGAAGCATTCATTTTCATTCAGAAAAAAATATTTGCATGCAAATGTTGATATTTTTTTTCAGATAATTTGATGTTGACACCACACGCCTTCATTGTACGGCTTATTAAATTATACATATTTTTCTGCACTTCATTTAAACTTATGAACTCGAATTATTCTAACTTAATTAACCGATTTCTCAAGGCATGTTGAAAATGACATAAAAAATTGCAAATTTTAAAATTAAATATCCATATCGATTTTTGTCCGGAAGGGAGAAAAAATTTTTATAATTTTGTTTTTCTGTAACGATTATAAAAGTTTACAAAATATAATTATAAGAACCCAGCGATAGCAATAAGAGCTTTATTCATTATTTTTCGAAAGTATTTTTTTTAATTTGACATTACCAAAACATGAATGTATTCGTCATTTAAAATATTTCTGTAATGGAAAGTACAAGACTACGAACCACAATTGCGCAAGTAAAAGCCGAATAAGGGCTTTTAAGCCGGGTATAGAGGTGGACATACACTGGTGTGCAAAAATTAAGGACGAAGTCGAAAAATTAGCATATCAGCTGAACGAAGAGGCAGAGCGGACAGAAAGACCAATCAGGAGATTAAGGTGATGTACGGTAGCACATGCGCAGATATGCAGGTAGACGTAATGGGGGAGTGTCTGAGTAATATAAAGCATGTTGTCGGTGTAAGATCAGTATTTCTGGCAAAGAGATTGCATGCCGTATAGCAGTTAAAATCACACCGAGTTGCTGCCTCAGCGAGAAATGGCGAATAATCAATCTGTTAGACGACATCTGGATGCTTTTACCCGAGGTCGAATCATTGGGAAGTTGGAGGAAGGCCGCAGTGTGACAAGTGTGGCGGCAGAGTTCGGAATTGCTCACAGCATCGTTTCACGACTTTGGAGACAATTTCAAACTACAGGAACAGCTATCCGGGGGTTTAGTAGTGGTCTTCCACGAGGAACCACACCCGCAGATGACCGGTATATTACCTTACAGGCCAGAAGAAACAGGCGGTAGACAGCGGGAGAAATCGCTAGACACACGACACAGGCGACTGGACGACCGATATCGCGCTTTACCTTGGCCAGAAGACTGCACGGTGGTGGTCTGTTTGCACGACGCCCTGTACGGTGTGAACCTCTAACGCCTGCCCATCGGAGAAGGCGTTCTCTGTGGTGCCGGGAACACCGGAATTGGAGAGACAATGAATGGTACTCTTTACAGATGAGAGCAGATTCAGTATGAGTAGCGATTCTCATCGCATACTCATCTGGAGAGAGCGGGGAAGCCGCAATCATCCCTCGAACATCATTGAAAGGGACAGGTATGGAGGTGGCGGTGTTCTCGTTTGGGGAGGCATCATGCTTGGTAGTCGTACAGACCTTCACATCTTCGACGCAGGTTCAGTCAACGGGACCCGTTATTGTAACGAGATTCTTCTTCCATATGTGCGTCTTTTTAGAGGCGCTATGGGTCCGCAGTTCCTTTTCATGGACGACAATGCACAATGTCATCGCACAGTAGCTGCCGAACAGCTCTTAGAGAGTGAGGATATTGAACGTTTGGATTGGCCGGCACGATCTCCGGATCTCAATCCCATCGAGCATGTATGTGATTTCTAGTCAGACGCTTGGCAGCTCGTACCTTACCACCAGTAACGATTCCGGAGCTTCGATTGGCGCTGCAAGACGAATGGGCAGCAATGCCTCAACAACTCATTGACACCCTCATTCTCAGCATGGCAGACGCTGTGAAACCTGCCTAGCAGTCAGGGAGGATCATATTCCCTATTAAAGACCGGATGTTTCTTTCTGGACACCCATCACAGGGATGTTTCGGCCTTCAGTCGCATTGCGCTCCATGCTACTTTTTCAATAAAGCTTCTTTTTATCCCACTGATTTCTCTTTTAGTAAGTGTTGCTTACATTACTCATGTCCTTACGTATTGGGGATCTTACGGTATTAAATGTGTTGATTTGGAAAGTTTTTGTACAAAATTATATTGAAAAAACCGTCTTCTCGTCCTTAAGTTTTGCACACCAGTGTATATATATGTTTCGTACTACCGATTGCAATAAAAAAACGAGCTGCACAGCCAGATCTTATAGAAGTCCCATACACCAAAGTTTAAGGTTCTGAGGCTAATTATGCAAGATATATCTATCTACGTAAGTAGGTATGTACAGACGTCATGAAAAAAATCCCTTCCGAATCCATTTTAAATCCATTTTATAATCAGTTTCGGAGAAAAGAATCTTTTATTCTGTCCGTCCGTACAGGCGTCATGCAAAAAAATCTTCCAAATGAATTCTGTAAAAGTCAAAATGGATATTTCCGTTAAAATACGATACCCGAAATTTTTTGCGATTACAATACTTTCTTTACTTCGTGCAAGGAAGTAAAAACCAATTTCTCCATGCAGTAATCCAGGATCTTGATTCATTTAAACTGCTTTACAAATCGTTGCTACTCTCAGCTTTAAAACAAAGCATAATTGAATTAAACATTTTGATGTTTCCTAATGTTTTCAAATACTCATTTATTTCTTTTTAGTTAATAATTCGTATACACTTTGCGATTGGCGAATATACTAAAAGAACAAAAAATTTTGAACTATTTTTATGACTTCAAGCAATAACAATGTTTGCAATTGAAGATTTCAGCAATTTACATCTCAAATATAAATAGTATATAGAATATATATACATAGGTATGGAATGTTTAACGCTCTGTAAATCTAAACATTGATCAGCTGACTGCCTCGAAGTCACACGCATTTTTTATTCTTTACCTTTCCTATTATAAGATGTTTAAAGTTTGTAAAAATTTTTCAGAAGTATTAGTTTCTAATTTTTTAAATCTAAAATTTCTTAATTTCAGTTAATTTTTAGGTTGATCTTTCGATTATGGTGACTTGGCGATTTTTTGGCGAAAATTTGGCGACCAACCCTGCTACAACAACCTGCTAGTTTTTGTTTGAACGCCATTTTGTTTTCACGAAGTAAAAGCACTTTTTTTTTTAACTCAACATTTTTTTCCAACAATCTGCTAGCCGAATTACGCTTATGCTAGAACTAGGTGCGAAATTGGGAGAAAGTGCAGAATCGCAAACTGCTTGCCGCGTTTTTAAGAACTGCACATACACGGTATTCATGTACACGTAGACCTATTTTCACTTAAAAAAGCATCCCAGAATTGCACAAAAATGACATTGCGCACACTCTTGACTTTATCCATGTACACTGCTAAAGTCCTAGCTAGCAACCTTTATCGCCTTACCAAAATGTCGCCAAACTACCTGTTACCATACTCCAAAGATTAACGAATTTTTATTACCCAAATTTAAATACAAATTTCTGTATTAAACGTGAACAATAGTAAAAATACCATGTAACTTGGAAGACCAAACAATTAACATTTATTTTTTCTTCGATCAGTAGCTGAAAATATTGATTTGCAGACCAAAACACTGTTTTGTGATACATTTCACATAACATTTGAGTACAAAAATTTTCTTAATTCGATTTTTGATATTATTGCACATAAGTAAAAATTCTTCAGTACGCTTAAGTAAAAATCTTCAATCGCATTCACATAAAAAAAATCAAAATAATGTTGTGTTGTCAAATTAAGGATTTGGATATAAAAAAACAGCTTACTTTTCTTGAAAAAGTAATCCATTTTAAAAATCTGGCGTTTAATAAATTTTCCAGTAATTTGTGAAAATGAATTCAAAATATATTTTGCACTAAGATATACTGCACTCAAGTTTTCACTTACCCGAGAAAGAAAAATGTGTCTACCACTAGTGCTCCATTGACAATAGTTTGTGACATGAAGGTGCTCATGGAAGTTTTGAATTCCAAAGTGTTTTCTGTAGATTGAGCAAAGAAAAAAAGAATTAATTGTTTAATAGATATAATAAGTTATACAAAGTATTCGAAATAAAAACTACGAACTTAGTTTCCTTAAATATTGATCTCAGACAAATAACTTATACAGAGTATTCGAAATAAAGACCACGAACTTAGTTACCTTAAATATTGATTTCAGACAAAGAAGTTATACATTGACCTTAGACAAATGTATTCAGAGTATTCGAAATAAAGACTAGGAACTTAGTTACTTTAAATTTTGATCTCAGACAAATAAAGTACTCGAAATAAAGACTATGAACTTAGTTTCTTTAAGTACTGGCTTCAGACATGAGTTTCTCGTAACAAAAGGTCAAAACGTAAAGCTCAGAATTTTCTTTACCTTTTCAAAATCCGAGTTTGAAGGCCTCTGTAGATGTAAAGTTTAACGTTTTATGTGGAGTAAAATTCTGCAGAGTAAAATGTTCAGTTAGCTTCAGTTTCGTCTCCACTAAACTATGATAAATTAAACATAATATGAATTTTGCCTTTGCGTGTAATTTTGCAGAGTTATACAAATTAATATTTTCTAGGGCTGTTTATAAATTTAATAACGAATGCTAGCTTACCTAGGGTGGATCTATTAATCTCAGACACACAAACGTTTGATCCCTAAAATTTGTCAAAAAATCTTGAATTCCTATTGACAGTAGATACCGAAAAGTTGTCAAAACCAGTAAATTTCTTCTCCAATACTTCTGCGAACTTAATTAGCAAAATTTCCTGTATTACAGTTACTAAGATTTAAGGAAAACTAGCTTGAATTTTTGGGCTATCGGAAATATTTAAAAAAAAATTAAATTTTACATTTAAAAAACTTTCCAATACATAATTTTGGAACTGTTCCCGAAAACTCCCCCCTCTTATTTTAAGAGACTTTGGAAGCATATGCTTAAGGTCAATATTTAAGGAAATAAAGTTTGTCGAACAACTTGTAAAATGTATAGGCACTGAATGCTTTAGAATTAAATAGAAAACAGTTTTTTTTTTTTTTTTTTTTTTTTTTTTTTTTCGTGAAACTACTTACAATGAGCATGGAATTTAAGTCATAAATATTTTTTGCAAGCAGATTCAAACACATTCAGAAATGATAACTTATGAAAGACAGAAAACAATAAATAAATAAATAAATAAATGATTGCCATTTATTACGAGATATTACTAATTTAAGGGAAAAACTCATAAAATATGTAAAATAACAGAATTATGTAAAAGGGGAAATTAAAATATATTCCATTTTGCTTCAGTTTTTGCATGAGTTAACATACATAAGTTTTTTACATAAATATTAAAACAGTTTGTGATATTCACTATTATGGTTAAGCCTGTAAGAGACTTCCCGTATTAAATGATCATTGTTTTTACTTATGTATTCGTGTATTATATACCTATGTTTACAATGAAAGCAAAAACCCGAAAAATAAGAACTAGTGTCAATATATTTATAAAGAGCTTAGTAAAAGAAAGTAACGAATATGGAAATATATTGTTGCAGATTAAGAAGAGATATATAAGTTGATTGAAAAGCTCAAGTTTAAGAATATCCGTAAGTTTACAAAAAGTCAAAATCATATAAGATGTATGGAAAAGATAAAAATGGAAAACAGTATGCATGCAACGAAGTAAGTCTAAAATTAACATTGCGTTGTGAGGATCAGCAACACATGCGTACTGTACTAGAATAAGAAAATTCGCATCTTTTCTCAAGCTAAAAAAAAAAAAAAAAAAAGAGCTCAGTGTATGTTATGGAAAATAACGTGTTAGTTACTTATTTTATACAATCAGATGCGAACTCAATTTTAAGTTGTCAATTATTATTATTTAAAATTTATTGATTCTGTTATTCTAACGATGTCGTCGATTCTTTTATTTTTTCGGCTGCATGTAATGAAACAGCTATTGGCGTGAGTAAGAAGGCACATTTTCTATTTCTCTATCTTCATTTGAACTTATTATATTAGTTTAAAGCAATATTTACACTGATTTACACTTTTAAGCAATGCAAAACTTTTAGAAAAATGTTAATTTTAGAAAGATTTGAAAAACCTTGACTTAAAAATTGCAATCTTATTAATTTATAAACATAAAAGATGTAACTGTTTTTTTTTTCCAAACACCAACTTTGAAAAAAGATATTTCAATGAAAATATGCCATTTAAGATAAAGAAATAATTTTTAAGCAATATAGAATAGACAAAGTTTCTATTTGTATCGATATTTTATGATCTAATGGAAAAAATTAAAAAAATTTTTTATTGAAAATATCTTTTTAATAGCGTTTCTCAGATTGATAATCGGTGTATACGAGCCAGTTTCCCTTAGAAAGTCCTCCACGAAAGGCATCCCTCCCCTTAGGCAGATAGCCCTAGAGTGCTTTGCCATAATTAAATACACCACACCAGATTGATAATCATTATACAAAGGGAAAATTCTGTTATTTAATATGCCTATTAAGTAACAGAATTTTGTTATTTATAGTTACAAATAGTTAATTATTATAGTAATGAATAATTAATTGCATTTAAAAAGCAATAATAAATATAGTAGAAATCTCAGGAATTTGCACCTGATATATCGAATGATCTTTAATGCATTTTATATTGTAAAACTTGTAGTAATAGACGGTGTTTATTCGGCAACTGTTTGAGGCAAGCTAATGAAGTATATTGCAAGTTTTCATTCAAATTCTCTTTGAACACTTACAGAAATATAAATTAGGTTTTCAATTTAGCGACGTTTGCATGCAAAGAGAAAAAAAGTTGCTTTAAAGTCTTCATGCCATATAGAACGAAGTACATTGAGCCCATTTTCCTCAAAGTACTCATTCGGTTTGGTTTGTTTTTTATTGTGTTGAACAATTTCTTTTGAGAGTTGCCTACGTTTTAACTGGTGGATAAGTAGGCCAGCGGCCGAGCGGTAAAAGCCACTGAACACTGGTAATTAAGTCCAGGGTTCGAGTCCTGGCGAACGGGCTGGCTGCATGGACGTTTCCGTGGTTTTGCTCATGTGTAACGTAGATACGAGGCAGTTTCCCTAAAAAAAAACCTCCACGGGGCATCCCTCCCTTTCCGTATAAGTGCCTAAGGACGAAGCACGTAATAAATTAAAAAAAAAAAAAGGTAAGTTTGTAAAAGCAATCTTCAACATTTTCTTTCAACATTTTTTCAATCATTCGAAATTTAAATTTATGTTAAAATTGAAATGGACACCTAAATTCCATTCTTGATCCAAATTACTTGATATAAGCCTTTAGTTTTATTTCCATAAACTTGAGTGACAAATTTGCTGGATTGGCTAAAAAATTTGGGCTGCGCTTCCATTGCTAATACCATCTTAGAAAGAATCATTCAGTAAACTCTAGTTGTTAAAGCTTGTTTTAAGTTGTGATATTCTCCACTGTGTAATTCTAAGTTACAGTTGGATGTGAAGAATCTTAAAAACTTAAGCGAATGATCGCTGGAGTTCGTGAGACAGTAAAACAAAACTTGGAAAAGGTTAAAAGACCCTTTATTATTCCAATTAAAGTTTAACAAACTCCGACCTGAAGTTGCAAAGGGTGTCCCAAAATTAACGCAAGATTTTTATTTGGCCGCATTTTTGCATTACGTTGTTGGCAATCCTGAAAGAAGAACAGTTTTGTTAGCATTTAATTAGTTCCTTTATTAAAAACATATTCCGTCAAACATTAATTGTTAAACACTTGCTTTATTCAGAAACATTACCGTCAACCTTACTGCTCAAAAAACTTACAGTTCAAAAATATTATCGTTCTGAAAAAAAAACTGTTGTTGCCAATCGGAAAATACATTTTAAATAAAATAATACGTGCGTTTCATTCGGGCATCCTGACTAGTTACGACTCGGAACATTAAGACTTATTTAAAAAAATTAAATCTGCAATATTAATGTTATTTCGAAAGTCTTTAGCTGTCTATAGATTCCGTCGTTTCTATTCTTTTTCCGTTCCTAGTTTTAGTAATAGCGGTGTTGTTATCGTTATCCCCAGTAACAGTATGTCATCACCATCATCATCGTCTTCTTCTGATTCACGACATGCCAGCTTTATTGGCTCACATGAGCGTCGTACTAAAGAAATGTCCTTCATCTTCTCTTAATTAAGTCACTCTATAGGTATCACTGGAAACTTCTGTACTACAAGGTCCTCGATCTTTTGTTGTTTTTGGTTGATTCTCCAGTTGATTTAGGTACTCTTCTCATAATACTATTTCTCCTCGTTCGAATGTTTAAGAAATTACTTTTTTCTTGTCATAATTTGCTTCATTCATCTGCCTATCTTCAATTCTCTTCTAACTTCATTCTGTAAGATACTGGATTCTCCCTTCATCTGCGTGCATTTGTAATCATCTCATCAATCCGTCGTTAAATTTGGGTGAATAACCGTGAAGCATTTCGAAGGAGTTTTATTTGTAGTCTATTTATATATTGTTTAAATTTCTTTCGCATCCCTTAATCTTTTTGTCCAGTCTCTCTGATTCGGATTTTCCATCCGTTTTATCGTAGCCAAAATTGTTTG